GTCCCTTGCCTTTTGCTTTGACGCCCATGGGCTTTCAGTAGTTGGCAAGAGAGTGTTGAGGAATCTGCTATGAATCGTCATGGTTGGAAAAGACCTTCAAGATGGAGTCCAAGCGTAGATGGTGTGGTGGTTTCTATCTTCTTCTAGGCCTCCCTGTGACTTGTTGGTGAGGGTCAACATCTGTCAGCTCAAACAGGCCCCTTCTCTTGGATCTTTGCTGCCTGAAGAATATTAGATCTTTAACCTTCCACAGTCAGGAAGGCCAATGGGCTCCTGGCTGCAGCAGGAGCGTTGCCAGCGGGCGAGGGAGGGATCCTGCCCCTCTGCTCAGCTCTGGGGAGGCCGCACTGGAGCATTGGGGGCAGCTCTGGGCTCCCCGGGACAGGAGGGACCTGGAGCTGCTAGAGAGGGGCCAGGGCAGAGCCACGAAGATGAGGAAGGGACCGGAGCAGCCGTCGTTTGAGGAAGGACTGAGCGAGCGGGGCCTGTCCAGCCTGGAGAGGAGCAGCCTGAGAGGGATGTGACCAACATGGACAAGGACCTGAGGGGAGAGTGCAGGGAGGACGGGGCCAAACTCTCCTGGGTGGTGGCCGGTGCCAGGACAAGGGGTGCCGGGGCCAAGCTGAAGCCCAGGCAGCTCCATGTCCATGTGAGGAAGAACTTCCTTGGTGTGAGGGTGCCGGAGCCCTGGCACAGGCTGCCCAGAGAGGCTGTGGAGTCTCCTGCTCTGGAGATCTCCAACCCGCCTGGATGCGCCCGGGTGCCCCGTGCTCTGGGTGTCCCTGCTGGAGCAGGGGGGTTGGACTAGATGATCTCTAGAGGTCCCTTCCAACCTCAGCCCTGCTGTGACTAGAAGGTGCTGGGCCCGGCCAGCATGGCTGTTCCACGGCAAATCGAGCCTGACCAGCCCCATTGCCTTTTGTGGTAACTGGCCGTGTGGACAAGGGGTCAGCACGGGGACAAGAGGACGTTGACTTTAATAAGGCCTTTGATGCAGTCTCCCGTGGTACAATTCTAGCCATGTTGGGGACGTGTGGACTGTAAAGGTGGACAATAAAGTAGGTGGAAAATTGGTTCCCAGCTCGCAGGGTGGTGGACAGCGTGGGGGATCGATGCTGTTTAATGTCCGTGTTAGCAACCTGGCCGATGGGCTGGAGGCTGCTGTGGGCAAGATCACCAACGTTATCAAAATGGGGGGAAAAGTCAATAGAAACGCTGGAGGCAGCGCCGTGTTCAGAGCGACCTTGGCAGGCTGGAGAGACGGGCTGGCAGGAGCGTCACGAAGGTCAACCAAGGCAAAAGCCACGTCCTGCTGCAGGGACACCTGGACACTGCGAGGGGACAGGCCGAGGGACAGGCAAGGACCTGCTGGCCACATGCGGCCCATGGGCAACATCAGCTGGCTGAGAATCAATGGGGACTATTGGAAGGGGGAACTTCCTTTTGAATATAAGAAACATTTTTGTTTTTTTTCCCCCAAAAGTGATCCAACCCTGGAGTAGTGTCCGGAGCGGGGCGGAATCTCCATCCGTGGAGATACCCAGGCCCATCCTGGACACAACTCTGGACAAACTGATGGAAGTTGGAGCAGAGACCCCAGAGGTCCCTCCCAGCCCCAGCTCCTCTCGAAGTCTCCAGGTTTCTGTTTTATTCCTAGCAGTTTTTGCTCCTTGACCGTTGAGGGTTTATTTATATCTCCTCGACTACTGGATTTTGATCTGCTGAGGGTATTTGACCTGTTTGAAGCGATGACATTGCTAGTCCTTTAACCTGAAACAGCTCTTGACTTGTTCAAATATAAAAAAAAATAGATAAGAAAGTCCCTGATAAAGTTCAGACCATTGCAGGAATCTTTGCGGCAAAGTGTTCTAGAAAAGAATTTCCTTTTAGCTGGATTTTTTTTTTTAAAAAATGCAGTAGTAATTTGGGCATTACTGTACTCTGTGTCGATGTGCTGCCAGTGTACAGCAAGCAGGAGCTGCCAAGCCCTGATTTTTATTTATTTATTATTATTATTTATTGCTAGCGTATGTTCCAGCTGTGGCATTCCTCGAATCCTAGTCAGGGTGAATTGATTCCTTCTCTTGTTCTTTAAATTTGAAATCACCTCATTACTCTCATGTCAACGGGACTAACAAACATCTCACCTTCCTCCTCCTTTTCCTCATTCCCCTCTCGTCATATTGGGGCCTTCACCTCTGCTGTTGCTTTGATTCAGGTTTTGCTTTTTCTGCCCCACAATGCTGCATTTTAGTAAAACAGAGAGAAAATATTGCCCTTATTCTCCTCCTTCCCTTAGACATACAGCAAGCTGTAGAAAAAAGATCAGGGAGGGACTTTGGAGAGTCATTTTAGGAGCTTTACCTGTTTCTTCTGCTCACCACACCAGCATGAAGTGCGTCTGGATATTTTTTTTCCTCCTTTCTTCCTTGTATTTTTAATTTCTCGATAAAAGCAAGAGCTCTAGGGCTTCATTTTAAATACCGCAGTCACAAAGCTTCATCCAGATACTTTCCATTGCTTGAAACCTGTTGAATTAAAGCCGACCAAAGAACCGCAGTCCTCGAGGAAACCAAGCGATATGCTTGGTCTTGCTTCCCATTCCTGGAATAAGTTATCCCAGATCCGAAGATGGGAAGGAATGGAAGTGAGAGAGGGAGCTGGCTTGGGGCCTAAACACACAGCAGAACCATCTCCATCCTCCTCCTCCACAGAAATTTCATCCAAAAGCCAAGTCCTAACCCCACGCGTGGTCCTTATGGTCGTCTTGGCTCAGCACGACAGATAGGCCACGCTGTGGGCGTGTGGTAAAATAGCATTCATTTGAAATAGCAGCTTCTCCTCCTCGTGATGAGCATGATAGGTTAATTCTTTTCCCAAAAAAAAGGCTAAGCTGGGACTTCCCACAATATAAGTACTGGCAAATGCCATTCTTCAAGTGGGAAATGGTCACAGCTCGATTACATCCCTGGACGTTGTCGGAGCTGGTTGGATCTGCTCCTTGCCCTCTCTTTCTACTATTTTTAACTGCTTTTGAAATATTTCTAATAGGACAGCGGAGATAAAGACGCCGCACGGGTTAATGTTTGTAGAAATAAGCAGTTAGTGAGTGAATGTTTGTTTTTAGGCTCTGAATAAAATCCCAGTTCTACACATAAAATCTAGATACGCACATGAACATTTTCAGGTTTCCCAAGATAAGGAAACGCGATGGATTTGTCAGCCTTTTTTTTTCCTGCTTGAAACTATTTTCTCCTGGGAAATTTGCCTACGCAAGTCTCATATTTCTTCGTGTTTTGTAATACGTTTATGGCTGTCATAAAAGGATTCCTGTATAAACTGTCCCGAGGTTAAACCCAGCTTTGTGTTTGCCTAATCAAGGGAAATGCAGTCACAAAGCGACGCAGAGCAGCAACTTCAAGCCGTGCGGATGGCTGAGCCTGTCAGTCCTGCAGCACGTACCCACACGGAGATCAAACACAAACCTAAGGATTGTATAAACTGAATTATGCGCTGCCTTGCCACCTCTTATTTCCCCATTTAAAATACAGAATAAAATCAAAAATAGCCCCGCAATGCTTCTGATTTATGGAGCTGCTACTGTACAACACGTCTTCGTGCAGGAACTTGCAGTCGTGCCAAAGCTGAGGCCAGGATTTCTGCCTGTCTCTTTCTTTTTTTTCCCCGGGGAAATTTGATTTGCATGGTGTTTTGTAATTCTATAGGGCCAGTCGAATGCTTTTGTTTTTCATCTCTAGTGTAAACCTTTTAATACCGGAGGTTTTTAGAAGGGTATCTTAAGCTTCCAGCTTGTCACAGCTACTGTTGTGCAATTAGTTTAAGTGGAATTTGTTTGGAGCGAAGGAAACCTCATGGCAACGTATACATCCCCACTTTATGTGTACATTAACTAAAGTATTTCTAACATTTAGCTGTGATTATCCGTTTTCAGATAAGATTGGCCAAGAATGAGAAAATAACTGCCTTTGGTAATGAGCCTTCCCAGAATTACATTTCAGAGACAGCTGCTTGTTTTCTTTTATTTTTTCAATATTGATAGCACATTTTGGGTATTATTAATTATTTCCAAAGTCATCTGTACCACTAGAAGAAAATTAAGGGTATTTTTTTTTTTTTTGCCTGGGGATATTATATCTTTAGATACACTTCCTGATCTCCTTGGGCTGTTGGACTTTGGACCAGGAACACCTATAATAAAGCGTTTGGTAATATTTGATTAAATATCTTGAGTGCTTTACGAAGCAGGCTCGTTTCTAAGCGTCTCGGGCAACTTAACCTCTCCTTACCGAGGCGTTTTTGCCTTGCGTGGTGGTTGTATTTATTGCTCAAGAGCCTTGACACGTCCAGATAGTTGACATATGTGTGACTGGGGATGGAAACCTCCGTTTAAATGACATTGAGATGGAAGCTCCCAAATGCTTTCCCTATTGGAGCACAGGGGTGATGCTGATGTAAAACGGCACGCCGTGATGGGCTGCTATAATGGGTAAATGAGGGTTTTGCTGGGGGATAATATGGGCTTAAAGTTAAAGGGTTGTGATTAGAGTTGCTGAATCGGTTGCTCTTGAGGAAACATGGCTTTCCTTATTAAAAAAAGGAAATTTAGAAGTATGAAAGCCAAATTCTTTGCTGTGCTACCAAATTCTTTTCTGGGCTGCGCCAGTGGGAAGCTGATGAACTTCTAATGAAGTAAACGGTATTTGTGCTTGGTAGTCCTGGGAACTGAATTTATCCAATAAAACGTGGAATTTTGGGCACCACATATGCGAGATCCACACGCGCAAGTCACTAGGCAACTCATACACAGTTGTCAAACAATTTCGCTTGTTTTTCATTCCTCCTTAACTCTAAATAGACTGTCATGCAGCAGAGTTGAGAAGAGTTGACCTGCAATGATAGAAAACGCTTTTAAGTACTGAATTCAGAGTGTTTTCCCATATGTATTAACGGATTTCTTTTTTTTTTCCTTTCTTTTTCAGAGCTTTCAGTCAGAAAAGAGCTGCGATTGAGAAGGAGTATGCGCAGGTAGGTTCTGCAACACCCTCGTGTCCATCATTCCTCGCTCCATGCCGTTGTTCCCTGACGACGTTTGCTCGTTAGTCCTTCTTGCCCGGTGCATGGTTTTTCATTTGCCTTTTCCATAATTTGGTTAATATGGAAATATGTCCAGGTTGCCTGGATGTGATGCTCTGCAACGTGCTCCTGGTGCTTGAGCAGAGAGGTTGCACTTGATGATCTCCAGAGGCTCCTTCCCACCTCAGCCCTCTGTGATGCCATGGAAGTATTTGCTGGAATTCTGAACTGTTAATGTTTCTCCAAATTTGCAAAAAAAACCATGTCTTTCATTTCTTGGGAGAAAACTAATGCGAAAACTGTGCAAAAAATGAGATCAGATCAGTTGTCACAAAGGAGATGTATTTTATCATCTGTAGTCCAAAATAAACTCATATTCACATTCCTCAGCAAGCCCAGCTTCCCCTTGATCTGCAGCAAAACCAGCCAGGTTTGGCCTAACGCTTGTGATTGATAGGGAGCAGAATGAATTTCCATGTGTTTTGTGGGAAAGGAAGGAAGATGGATTCTCTTTTCCTCCCATTTCACAAAAGTGGAGAGCATCTAATAAGGAGCAGCTGTCTGCTTAATTTCCAGTAAGGGCTCTTAGAGCTTAAGTCTAAGTACCGCAAATTAAAAATAAATTAATGTACTTTTAAATAGATTAAAGGTAGAACAAAGTGTAAGTGGGGGGACTTGTCCATCTCACTATGCCATCATGCAAGAGGAGGTGTCCCTACTTTTACAATAGCTGATTTTGGGGTAGGAATGCAACCTGAAAATCAAGGCTGTCACCAACTGTTTCCAAAACGAGAGTTTTGGGGCATTACTGCTATTTCATCCTCAAGTAGGTGCCAAATGATGGTCTTTGGTGGCTCAGACTTTGCTTGGTTTTCTATGAAAGAGCATTTCTGTATAGTTTCCAACTCTGCTACACGTGTTTTACCAGTCCTAGACTTTCTGCAACTAGAAAACACTTAGCAAGTCAAAACTTTTACAGAATTCAGTCCAAAACTCACAATTGTCCTAAAGGTTTGTGGTTATTGGTGCTACCATGCTTTTGTTGTACCAAAAAATGCACTGTCGTGCATCGATCCCATCACCAGTTACACTCAATTTGATTAAATATAGCAAATTTTCTATTACCCTATCAATATATGACTTTGATTAAAACTCCGTCTTCTTTAGTGATTGTGTAATGCCATTGTAGAGGATTTAAGATCGATTTTTAATACATTTTCCTTGTCAAAGCGGTGCGTGTTTTTATAGGCAGAGACACTTCGGGCATTCGCTGAGTTTAGGGAAGGGTCTTGGTAAGTTAGAAAAATAATTAGGCTCTTCTATTGGGATGGCTTGGTGTTAACAGACACTTTCAGCTATTGGCATTCAAAAGGAAAAAAGAGAAAAATTCCAGCAATTTGAGATTAGTTTAATGACTGCTTAAATCAATGCAGTTTTATGGGCTTGGTGCTGGGGGGGCAGCCCAGGAATCATGTTGGACGTTTCTCCTTGGGCCTGTTTCTGCTTTTGGAATTTTTCAGTTTCCCTCCGATTGCGCAGCAAGTGGCTTGGATGTAGGAGGTAAATTAGAGGAGCTGGGGTGTAAATTAGTGTTATTTTTAAGGGCTTTTTGCTGAGCCCGCTATGTGCAGGAGGAGCCTTTTTTCGGCTTCCCCAGCTTTTTTAGGGTGTAGAAGTGGGAAAAGTATCGGACGTTGGTCCTGTCACTGTCGTCTTCCTTCCTAGATCTGTTGGGAACTAAGCTATTTTATTCTTATTTTTAGTGTGACGTTATTTAATATAAGCTTAAAGGCTTATCTTAATATTTAGGCTTGAGGGTATTTAAAGGCTCTTGTGTCCCATTCATAATAGTGTTTAAATGGCAGCGTTTTAGTATTATTATTATCTATCCCGTGATTAATGAGTTAAGTGAAATTAATGGCTAAGAACATTTGTTAGGTGGAAGTAGAGCTTACAAAGCAGCATGTGCTTTGGCTGCTACCTGGTCAAGACGCTTTTGCCTGATAAATAGATGAAACATATTAATTTTTGAAGTGATAATTAAATTTCTGTCACACTTTTCCTTATTTTGGAACATTTTAAAGGACCAGTCAATCTTCCAGTCTCTGTGTCATGTTCTTGAGGATGCGCAAGCTGCTTGCCATGGTTTTGTCTTTTTTTCTCAACATTTATATCTATATATGTACAGATAAAAATATTTTACATTTCTATATGCATTATATATACATATATATACGTTCAAGTTTGCAAATACCCCCAAGGAGTCTGAGCTGCAAAAGGGACCGCCATTTCCACGCTGGTTTGGTGCCAGGACTCTAAGACGGTGCTGTAAACTACCAAGAAGTTTAAAACTTCTGGAGATGCAAATAAAAGTTTGAATTAAGGTTAAAATGATAAAAAAGTGTTTTTTTTTATTTTTATGCTTCTCTCTGGTTTTCTGGAGGTCAAATTAGGAGGTCAAAGAGGCGCGTGTGCTCCGTCGACGTAGTTACGGTGTCGGTGACCTGGACGCGGTGCTGGGTGTTGCTTGCTGCTTTTTGCAATTGTGTGTTGCAATAAGAACATAAAAATTCTATGAAAATAAACATGTAGCTGGGTTCCCCACCGTGTCTTGCTGACTTGTGGGGTGACTGAAGCCCCAGCTTTTGCAGACGTGCCTTGGTTTACCCTTGCGTTGCGTAAGCCTGAAAAGCTCTGTTATTATTATTATCCTCGTTGAAAATAATAATATTTTTATAGCAGAAGCTTTTGGCAACCATGCCACTTTTGATTCAGCTCCAAAATTCCAGTAAGGATCTTTCCCTCTATAAAACACGTGGCGTTTTACAGCAGAGGAGTCGTGCAGGGGGATTCATCTGCAAAGCACCTCTGCTCTCAGAGGTAAGAGGTGCCTCGAGGGCCTGCAGAAAAATCCAGTTCTTTCATTTCCAGGCTGAAATCCCGTCCTCCCTCAGCCCCAGCTCCTAGCAAAGTGCTGGAGCGCCAGGATAATAAACTCGGAGCTTGAACGTGCTGCAAGCGCCTTCCTGTTCGCTCGCTCGCTCTCATCCTGGGGAAACGTTGGTCTTTCTGCCATCCGGATACAAAAGGTGACAGTGGCAGCGAGAGTCTGTGGGCTTTAGGGCTGGGGACAAACACGGAGCAGCCTTGGATTCCCCGGCCCGTAGAGCAGCTGGATTTCAGGCGCTCCTTCCTTTACGGATAGTGTTACGGAAACGGGCTGAAGCCAGCGGGAATAGCCCAGGTGTCCGGCACCTTCCTGAGGCGGCCGCGTGGCCCGGCTGCAGGCCCAGAGCTTCTGGAAAACTGTTTGCAGAATTTTCTTGAGATACTGCTGCTCCTGCGATCTCTGCACGATAGTGTTTTAAAAAGTTTCTAGAAAATAAAACTTCTAAAAGTTTCTTAAAAAAACTCTGGAAAGTCGTGTCCTGTGAAGCTCTCTGGCCACGTGAGATGTTCCCAGTGGCTTGAGATGGTCCTTGTACATTGGATGCCTCCAAAATTTGTCTTTTTTAGGCGGTTTGTTCCTATCTTGAGGACATTGCAGAGGATTTCGGTACTTGTTCACAGTGTGAAATGCTTGTTTTTGTCCTCCTCCTCTACTATGTGCTTTTTTCCCCAAGACAATCCCAGAGCTGGGGTCTGAACGGACACTTTCTACATAGACTTTCTCCACCTTCAGTCCCTTGAGCTGACCAGGTGCACGTGGTGCCACTTTGACATTGGAGAGCTCATTTCTTCCCCATTTGATCCCTTATTTATCCTTTCTCCTGGTTTGGAGTCTGGTTGATCCCATCTGTCATAGCAAGCCATGTTGGACAGTCTTGCTCTACTGTGGTTTGGTCTGAAGACTTTTTCCCGTTCCATTAATTAAAAATATGAGATAGAATCACGGAATCATTATGGTTGGACAAGACCGTTGGGATCAGCAAGTCCAACTGTAAATACTCACCAGCTTCCTGAAGAAAAAATGGAAAAAAAAGGTTAACCCGAGAAAGTCTGGAGGATGTGGAGCCTGTATGTGATGCAGAGGGGGATACAGAGATGTCTGAGGGCTTCGAGGAGATAATGTCTGTGGTTGCTACCATGTCGCTACCAGCATCCGAACCACCGAGACTTCTCTCTGCCTTCACCTCCACCTCTCTGACCTGCATCCAGGCATCCGGCTGTTGGTCCCGAAACTGCGTTTGCTTCACAGGATCCCAGAATGGTTGGGGATGGCAGGGAGCTCGCGGGATCCCCCCGTGCAGCCCCTGCTCCAGCAGGGACACCCAGAGCACGGGGCACCCGGGCGCATCCAGGCGGGTTGGAGATCTCCAGAGCAGGAGACTCCACAGCCTCTCTGGGCAGCCTGTGCCAGGGCTCCGGCACCCTCACACCAAGGAAGTTCTTCCCCACATGGACATGGAGCTGCCGGGGCTTCAGCTTGGCCCCGTCACCCCTTGTCCTGGCACCGGCCACCACCAAGAAGAGTTTAGCCCCATCTTCCTTACGTCCTCCCCTCACACAAGCCTGGAGAGCCGCAGGAGACCCCCTGCTGTTTGACCTTCTCCTCGTTTACCACATGACTCCAATTACACTGTGCAAACGCCTTCTCCTCTTGGCTGGTCATCGCCCTGCTCCTTTTTGTTGTCTTTAGTTTGATGAAAACACTGAATAACACGAAGCCTGCGTCGAGCCGCCTGGAAAAGCCAGCAGCAAACGGCCCAAGTCAAAGCAGAGTTGTCAAAATAACCCCAGAAGTTCTAGTGAGTGCTTCAGGTTTGTTTCTGTTAAATTAAAATTTAATTGGGTACTAAGACAAAAGCTTCAGGAAAATGTATCACCTTTATGGCACTATTGCATAATATATTGGCAGCCTCAACCCTGTTGACATACGGGGTGACACGAACAGCCCTTTAGTACATGCTGACATATGAATCAAGTGGAAAAAAAACAGCGTGAAATTTCGA